CTTCTCATTTATCCGCGCGTGTTACATCTACAGCCCATCTTCTCCTCATTGATTTGATGAGCCTAACAGTGTATAATCTGAAGCTTTAACGGAGACTAAGTGTAATAAATTCTTCTTGGGCTACCAGCCGTATAAGGGGTAGTACTTCAGTGATCTGAGGACGAGGACGAAGATGGTTCTCGAAACGTTGGTGTTTTCTTCATTAAGCCACTTTGTACGGCTGGAAGCCCGGGAACAATTTATTATGATCCTAACAGTGTTATGTAAATCGTACAAATTATGAGAAGTTATGTGATTTTATTCATTCTCATATTGGTTTCTGTCTCATAGGGACAAACATTTCACAAGAGCTCGCCACTGAACAGTTTTCTGAACAAGATGAATCGAATCGACATAATATTTATTTAAGATTCATATCAATGTGTCCACTGATGTGTTCTTCGTCTCTAAGCGATCTGTTGCCCTCAGGATTCCTGTTATTTATTTATCTTTGTTTATTTTGCATTTCTCATGTCTCTCAGGCATGCATATGGTTTTAGTACATTTTATTTTAAGAAATATCGTTTCGAAGAAAGAAAATTTTAACTAGTAAACTAGTATGCTGAAAAAGATGGTTGGCTTTTATGATGTTTCACCGTGATTTCTGGTAGAAGTTGACCGACGTTTCAGAGGTGTTTACTGCCTCCAACATCAGTTCCCCGCAATATATTCGAGGCCACGAGAACCTTATATCTCACGTAGTAGGCGTATTTCGTAGCTGTATTGCACATACTACATATTCGTCGCAGAACACTGAACTGAAGAGCATGCCTTCGTGTTGTATGACTGAGCTTGTGCCTGTTTTGCATTGCATTCACATCAACACATCGTTGTTTCCAATCCGATGCCAGCGCAACCGTCTCTAAATCTGCTTGTGACAACGTTCACCTGAAGCGTTTGCAATAAAATGCCGTCTCGTGTTTTAATGACATATCGCCTCAAATTACATCTCTGTGTTTTATTTGCTTTATGCAATAGAATGTATCCACTTGTTTCTTCATCTAATATTGACGCACTACAGTTATGACACACTTTACATCTGTTAACATCTCGGTTTAATCGGACACATTTTCTCCAGCGTATCCGGTAACTTACGTCCCTCGTTGAGTAGCTCGCTGGCTTTCTATGAAGGATGAATGCATGTATCTATATAGTGGTTTGTATTAAATCGAGGACATCCTGCCAGAAGACAGTATCATACGGTCTAACAACAGAAAATAATGGGGATGTATGTCATTCCAGAAAGGCGTGATGTTAATGATGCTAAACATAGAGACACAGCAGTTGCATTTGAGCGTGCGGGACACTAATAATGAACATTTATCAAACCGAATAAACATTAGAATCTACAGTCCACGACTGTAATCTTGAGACTTGCGGGTGGGGTGAAGGAGGAAGTAGGAAAGATAGCGTCTGCCTTTAACGCTACGGACTTACTGCATTCCTTGCAAGTCTCAAGATTACAGTCGTGGACTGTAATCTTCTGTGAATCAGTAAGTTTTTTGGTACAAACGTTTGGCATCATGTCCTCAATATATGTATTTGTTGATAATGAAATTTTGAGACAATTCTTTATGTCGCCGTTTTGGTACTTTTAGTCTCGCAGGCTGGAATTAAAAACAGTTGAATAATTGTATAATAGAACAGAAATAGTCAATTACTTAACGCACTGAAGGTAATAATCTCAAATTTATTTTGAAGTTCAACTATTTCTACAAAAGAAAATTATTCAATAATATTTTCATATAATTTATAGAGTCTAACTTTTAATGAGAATTTAGAATAAATATGTCAATGTTAGTCTTTTGTGTTGTAACATCTTGTGACTTATTGGTAGATACCAACGTTTCGGAGGATATTCTGCCTCTATTTTACGAATTACGTAATAATTCAATTCAATTCAATTCAATTATTTAAGTGTTTGCCAACAGCAAGAAGCCAAAAACAGGCAAACGCTGATAATACATACAATAATAATGAAATAATAATGAAAAATATTACACAAACGGATTAACTAAACTTATACATGTACAGTATTAAATATAACAGCCAAATACAGGCAAGCCCAAAATAGAAGCAATATTATACACAAAGAAAAATAAATGAAGAAATATAAACGAAGAAATATAAATAAAAACAAATAATCCACCTAGGGAACACTAATATAAATGTAAAACGTTAAATAAATGCAAGAAACAGATAACAATAATAATAATAATAACAACAACAACGGTTACGTAATTTTTACTATGAGATTTACCTTGAAGAAACCAGTATACTTTCCAACACAAGTTTTCACTGTTCTATTTCTCTCGTCTCCTGGAAATTTCGAAGGCTTTTCGTACGGAATGAATCTATTCATAACACAATATCCAGTGCCTGACTCACTTGACTCGCCGTTCATGCGAGGCGGAAATTGCGTACTGACAGTGGCTACTCTGGTAACAAGAAATGCAAATTAGGGTACAGTGGGGTCTGATGGAGTATACTAGAGCTCGCGGAACGGAAGCAGAGCCGGCTTTTGCAAAGATAATGCTGTGATAAACTTTATTAGAGTTATGTCAGTTCATAAAACACTTAAATAAATGAATTGGAAACGACTACAGGAATACATATTGTTTTGTTTTGGATTTAAACCCCATAAATGTTTAATATGTAATTCCTGTTCGTAACCAAGAAACGAAACAAATTTTTATAGTCTAGAAGAAAGCGCCAAGCTAACCAGAAGCTACATGAACTATCAGGTGAACAGATTATACTAATACCATTTTATACGCTTCAATTACGGTAACGCATAAAATTAACTCTTGGACTTATTGGATGTTCAATATGAATACCTTCAATTGCATTGAATTTAAATTTGCACTCTCTTATGAAATAATGATTATAAATAAAAATTATGGACCCCTTTTCAAGTTGTGTGTAATAAAAGACTGCTTTTGTTTAAGGTCTCATAGGTTAATTGCAATTCATGGGACTTCTGTGTTCTCCCCGGAGCTGTAAAACTTTGAATTGATTCTCAGTGAAACCTGCTATATCTCCTTTTAGTCATATATTGATTCGATTACAGGTAATAGAGAAATATGTGGGGCAGAGTCATTAGTACTGTTTAGAAGTTGTAAATTATTCCGCTTGCGTTGTTATAAATTGTACTGCCGCTGCAGATTCTAAATAAGAAATAGGCTACAAAGTATTACAGGCTGTCATATCCACATATCTATTATCCATGTTTTCGTATTGCACGCTGTTTCCTGAGACGAATATCAGATGACCAACTTTGCGATATTAAGTACTAAATCTAATGGGGAGAAAACTCCTCACTAGTTTTATATTAGTCAGCACAATGTGAATTTATTCTTCGCTTTTGACTTTTGACGTTAGTAGTTGCTAGTTGACTGTTGGAAGACCATTTTCTTACAGACGTAGTCAGGCTGGTAGAAGTTCACCAACCTTTCAGAGGTGCTTGTTGCCTCTATCGTCAGCGCGATAATGGAGGCGGCAAGCGTCTCTGAAATGGATTCTCAGCAACCCACAAGACAGCCATCTTTTTCCGGTCTGTTCTCTGTCATTAATCAATCTGAAAGTGAATTGATGACACAATTGAGCATTATTTTCTGGTGACTCGAAGTGCATTCAGTTGCTTCAGTGAATGAACAGGCTATGTGACTGGAACGAACAATAAAATGTCGCATGGGGGATAGCTATTGAGTTGGTTTAATCGTTAATAACGCGAATGAAATGCTTGTCTGCATCATAAAGGTCTGAAGTCTGGTTCGCCTTTTCAACGCTTAACGATCTGATTCCTGAATAGAAGCGACCGAACAACCCTAGGCGGGAGGATGGTTAGGCATATATTTGCACTTTTGTGACGTTACTCAGCAGAAATGCAGTTAATATATTTCAATAGAAAGGTAGCACATTTCTACTTCCCGAGCAGTGTAAAATCTTCCTGGTATCTCTTATGTGTTTCATCAGTAGAAAAATGAACCGTTCGAAATATCGACCGAAATATGCGTATTTCTTGTTAATTCCATTCTGTCTCTGTGGTGATGTATCTCATTGTTTATTGTGTCTTATTGTTTTTGTCGTGTCCTTTTGTTTATTGTTTTGTTCTGTCTCATTGTGTTGATGTATCTCATTGTTTATTGTGTCTTATTGTTTTTGTCGTGTCCTTTTGTTTATTGTTTTGTTCTGTCTCATTGTGTTGATGTATCTCATTGTTTATTGTGTCTTATTGTTTTTGTCGTGTCCTTTTGTTTATTGTTTTGTTCTGTCTCATTGTTCTATTCTGTCTCATTGTTCTATTCTGTCTCATTGTTCTATTCTGTCTCATTGTTTTGTATGTTATTGTAGGACACTGCCACCGGGTATAAACCCATTTGCAGTCAATAATAAATAATAATAATAATAATAAAAATCGCAAAGCAGAGAATATGCTGCGAGCATGTCACTTTACCCGTCAGTCGATGGTTTGTGGGTCCAAAATGTAACACTGGATATCTACATTTGAAATTGTTGAGCAAATTTTATTTCGAATAATTTTTATAAATTAGGTCATACAACTACTAACAAAATGGCATATATTATTTTCACTTGTTAAACACATCTTAGATAAATTTATAGGGGCTGCATAACTTAAAAATTAGTTTCACTACAATATTTATGCAACACAATTTACTTTAAATGAGACGTTTACAAAGACAATATCGCCATAATATAAATTTATTTTATTAAAATGGCAGGTTCGATGTGTTCTTAATGTTTGGATTAATCTGTATTTGTGTTGTCAAAGAATTAAACTCTCAAAGACAAAATATTTTTTGAAAGTGTGGCAGAACATTTAATCGCTGTTGCATTAATATGTAATGTCAGATACGTTATGATTTAAAATAGATTGTATAGGAAAGGAACTTTCGGAAGCGTTGCAGTATTCTGATGGGTAATCAAATAAAACTCTTTCATACATTTGCTACAAATTTAATTTATTTATTTTCCATGACTTAAATATAACTCCAGAAATAAAACGGGACACACCTGTTTTTGTAATATGGATGCTAAATATTTAATTCCCTTGTTTTATTTTCTTGTGTGTGTGTTTTTGTTTTTTGCGAATGTCTTAAATTGTATTTAGTATTCCGATAATTGTATTGAAAACTCATATTCTTTACGCTTAATCTTTAGAATTCCCTCATACATTCCAACGTGGTTGTCTTTGAACCAGTGTGTACTAAGTAGGTTGTAATGGACTACAATAAATATTTGTTTCAAGCAGTTTTTACGAAAGGTTTAATGATTTGTCTGATGAGTAACCAAATACTGTAGGTAAAAATTGTTCCCAATTTTCCAGTATAATATATTTATACACAAACAGAAAGCAAAGAAATATACAGACACGAATAGCAACTACAACATTTTGTCAAAAAAATATATTTATTATGTAACTACAATTTGTTACAACTAAACTAAATTAAGGAAATATATGCGTCATCTCTCCACTATCACAGAATAGTGCTGTGAGGTCGAGGCTTAACTCATTTAAACGCCATCTTGGGCGTTCAGATATTGGGCAAGGATATTTTTCCCCTGAAGAGGAATTAAGAGTCAGAAAGTACGTGTTTTAAAGAAGGGATGGAAAATAAAGTGAAGAATGCAGGTGCTAATTTTAGCTAAAATACAAGTTTCAAACGACAGACAATTCAAGAGCGAAATCTTAACATAAAATATACACAAATCCATGTGACGGTTATTGCGTTTATTGATGTTCGCAAGTTAACTCTAGTTCGTGTCAGGTCGTTATCTAGATGTCACAAGAACAATCCCATCAACATGGCGTCCGTCATTATCTGCCGTCTGAAACTCCTCTGACCTATCCAAACATTTCTGTTGGTACTTTTTAGATTTGCGTCCGAAGAGAATTATACGAGCAAATCTTAAAAAGTATAAAGATTAGTTGTGAAGGAATTATGAGAAATGCTGCATATACATTTATATATACTACATTATATATAATGGCGATTTAAATAGTTTCGCCAGGAGGGATTATCTTTAATGGTGATCACAACTATTCACGAAGTTGATATGTACAGACATCAAGCCAGGGTTACAATATGAAAGACCTTTACAATGGTTTCCTTTAACATGAGTGCGACGTGTTGGTTTAGTTTTGTTTAGGATTCGCGCACTTTATCATCTACAAAACATCACACATAAGACTTGATACTGTAGTTAACACGACAGACGGCAAAATACATATGTATTAAAAGTGTGTACACATCTTCTAATGGCATTACAGAGAGAGATCTGTATGATCAAGTCAGGTTAAACATAGAAAAAAATGCTTCATTTTGTGTGGTCCGCGGTGTGACCATACCGTTCCTCTGCCCATGGAAATCATAACATATAGCGTGGTAGCTTCATTTCGCGTAGTCCGTTTGTTATATATTGTTCCTTTTGTGTTTATGTAAATTCATATTCTATTGTAAGTTTGCAGAAAATGCGCATTTAAATTTTTGCTTTTCGTGAAACAATGTTTGCTGGACCTGGTATTTTAAAGCCATTACACTGAGGAAATCTGAACGAATTTATAAACGTAAAAGAGCGAAATCATGACAAGTATAAAATTACTACCAAATTAATATTGAATATTGTTCTCTCTGTAGCTTGAGTTATCTGGTAAAAAATTGCACACTGAACTGTTGATATGTATATTATTTGGACGTAATTTTATTTTGCGATAAAATATTTTGTAATAAATAACTTTATTTATTATGAATAATTAATTTCGAATTATTTCGCGATTAAAACTTTATATTATGATGAAGACCTCTCAGATGTAAATAGAGCGACTAAATACTGCAGAGCTTAATAAAATCATGACACTGCAGTCAATAAAGTTCCAACAAAAATTATATTAGACTAGTTACTGCAATCGTCATTTATTATTATGAATAATATATATTTTTATATCTACGTAATAAAACAAGTCATATGGCCCATTATTAAAAATATGCTTTCAAGAAATGAAACTTAAGTAAACTTCATGAATATATATCACAGTTTGTTTTGTAGTCCAAAGCGTTAAGTACACCTTGTAGCATACTCCCATAATATTAGTGTAATTATATGATAGTGTGACAAACTGATAATTTCCTTTAGAACTCAAAAATTTGCTCTGAAAACGGCAAACTGTTGAAGAAATACACATTTATTTCTATTCCGGGATCGTACTTTCTTATCTTAAACTCGTGGTTCTTAACTGTGAACGACAAAATGGTTTTAAATCAGAAATATTTAGGTGTAGTGTAAAGTAACTTACATTGTAACATTCCTCGAGGAAACTTTACATTAATGATAGTGTATTCTTGTAATTGTTACGTTTGTAGGCTTATGAGTGTTATTACGTGCTGCTAGTTGAAAGAGAGAAACATTATATGTTGCCAAGCAAATAACAGCATCCGACTAGGATATAGGCCGCCATTTTCTTTCAAATATTTACAGCCTTTTAAAGGTTAGTTGAACAAGCATATTAAATTATCAGCGGAAATACGTACTTCTCACATTGACGTTACACGAGCCCAACAAGAATTACAGCTAGCAAAAGCACAAGTCCCCTTCATTCTATAACTCTTAGAAATTACTTGGGGACAACTCCCTTACAACTCTCTTTAAATAATATATACGTATATATTATACAACAACAGATATAATAATTATATGATTTATATGTATCATTTATCTTGATCACGAAGTGGTGTTATTAAAAAGGTGTCACTCTCTGCTTCGATACACCCACATAAGTTATTTTATTTATATAAAAGGAAACAGATTTGTTAATGACTTCGTCTTTTGTTCTCCAGCTACTTATATCATAAACGTTCATATATCTTAGGCCTGTCTTCTAGCTCATGTAATTGGAGTGTAAGCAAGTAGATTCGTATATCCATCCAATCCTGCATGTATTGTTGGGACTTTCGTTTCACGAAATGGATTTATTTTCGTGGTTGTAGGGGAAAGATTACCATGCGATCACAGCATTATAATTGTTTGATGGGGGAGTCCCAATATCTGAATTCATGTAGTATTACATTAATTCTGATAATACAGCATAACTTAAGTTCCACCACATTACTTGCCCCACTACATATCACACTCAAAACGTTGTATTGCATTCCCTTTATAAGTATTATCTACTGTAAAAGGTACATTAACTCGAATAGATATATATGTTAACTATATAGATGCTATATAATAGCTTAGAAACGTTACGAGAATACACCGTAGAATAAAATAATATTATAAACGACATATCTGACACACAAATGACAGTAATGTCAATAATTATATATAATTATATTTATGACAATAAATTTTCTCTAAAAGTTACTAGAAAATAAACTATAATATTTAATTTTACTAGGCCTAAATCAACTACTGATGTGTTTCCATGCCGACATTGTATTTGTGTTTTGTGACGCCCTTCATTACTCAAGCGGCATCGCGAACAGCGCGATTCATTACTCGCCTTGTCGTCTTTCATGACTACGAAAAATATTTACATCTGATCATCCAGCCACCGAGAGGAGCATATGTATAATCTCTTCTACGAAAGCAGAAGTAGCATTTAGCTGTAAATGTTTTCAACGTTATATTTGTTTCATATACAGCGAATGGAATACACGGGCCAAAGGATTTGGGGGCTTTAATTTTCTCTCGTTCTACAGCTGTATGTTAATGCCATTAGGATGCTTGGCTCAAGTACCCATTAATGTTAAATATGGAATTTTGTTTGTATATGAAAATCATGGTAACGGACTTTCAAATACGCATAAGGTATGCATAATTTGCCAATTAGCAAATATTCTCCAAGAATCTGGAGTTGAAGCATTGAACATCTATTAATTATTTTGTGTCATTCCCATTACAATACACTTTAACGTCGGCATAGTGTGGATTATCAGGCAATAAGTCAGTGTTATAGAACAACACATAATATTTTCAGAACATTATATCAAATAGTAAAATTATCACCGTCGACAAACTAAACATCTTATGTGTAAACTTTATTAAATTAATAAAATTCAACAGATGATGTCTTCTGATCGGTGTGTTCTACTTGGGGACTGTATTCCTACAACCTACTTAAACACACATTTGAACATCTTAAATAACTGACAAGTGATGAGTCGGTTGTTGATAATAAATACACGTATTTTAAGAATTCTATTATCTTCATGAATATTGAATAGTTATTTATACATGAAACATGTTTTATTGGTCGGCTGCTGATAAAGAGGACGTGAAATCATTACCTCAGTGGCACATGAAGGAAAGGGCTGAAGGGTTGAGAGGGACAAACAGACACAGATTTGTCGGCTGTGGTATTGGTCGAACACGACAAGAGCACGACAGCTTTTCAAGCAGGTACAATCTGTTATTTTTTATTTTCCGCACGCTTTCTGTTTTCTCTTGTGTGCATTTTTGGTCAAGTGCATTTGTTTTGTATGCAGTCTATCTGACTTTTGTTTTATTGCAACGAAACTGAAAAGCAAGAAGCTTTGTAATGCTGCGCTAACGACAAAGAAATCAATTTCAGAGCACTTGAATCAGATGATCTAAACAGTTTCGAGATGAATTTATTTTTTGAAGCGGAAAGAGAATGTTCAAATAGTATAATGTATGAAGATTTCTGTCTTCTGGGTTGTTGCGCAACAACCCAGAAGACAGAAATCTTCATGCTTACCGCTGCGAAAACCTCAAATCTTACACAGTACAATGTATGATCTAAATCTGTCACGGTCACTGATATTAATAAAATCTGCTAAGGGCTATCAACCGCTTCAGTAGGATAAGAATTTAACCGATTGACACGGTCGATAGCCCTAGCAGATGTTATTAATGCAAATAGTCGTTCATTTCCGATCCTGCCAGAGGTAGCCTGGTCGATGGTAATGTCGTGGTGGAACTAAACACACAAGTCGATATACCGTGGAAAAGACGATTCTTATAAACTTATTTCCAGATCATACGTATTTTCATATTACCAATTAAATTATCAAACGAAATAAAATATTGTATGTGAACACTATTTTCATATCTGGCGGCATTTCTTCATAAATTTAAAACAAAATTATTAATTTTGTAAATCAGTTTGGTGTCTCTCTTACTGATTTCCGCTAAGAACAGCATAGCAAATTTTGAATTGGTAGCGAAGAAAATTTTTAACAAATTCCATATATTTAGCTTCAATTTATTAAGCAAAATTCTGGTTTAAAACAACTTCAGAACAAAGTGCTAATATATTTATAGGTATATCTGATGTTTCCAGTGGGTTGAGTTTAAATCTACACCGCTAATGATATGTCTTACTGAACCGGTAGGCGTTTGATATGTCTTGAACACGAATACTGAGATCGATGTCTGGTTAACGACAAAGAAAAACGGCGTCGACAGAACTAAAATGAGGCTCGTGAAGAACGTAGGAGTGTACATGTATGGGAGGAAGTAGGATAAGTACTGACGGATTGTTTCTTTTTGGATAGAAAGGGTAAAGCGAAGGGGCGCTCAGTCCAGGAAACCAGTGTTGACCAGTTTCTCTAGGAAAAATTTGACGTCTCCCAGTTCGGAATCCTTGATGCCCAGACTCTTGAGCATACCCAAGTCACCATTTTCTACTGCCATGAAGACGGAACGCAAATGCTCTAAATCGGAACGCATCAAATGCAGCGCAGTTCCAAAATCTTCGATGGTTTGAGATTCTGAAAAATAAAAGAAGGCAATCGAGTATTAATCAAACATATACATCGGCCGGTAACAGTCTCACCGATTTCAATTGATAAAATTTTGATTTTGTATTAAACATTTAAGTAAGAGTCATTGTAGTTGGAATTTTAGAAATGTGGGGTTGAGACTAGAAATGGATAGCATTAGGGCCAGTTTCCGATTCATTAGCAGACTCTTGTGAACACACTTATAAATGTTCTGTTCTAATGTAAGGCGGGCAATTTTATGACTGGCTAAGGGAGAAATAACAATTGGAGGAAGATACTCTGCATTAACCACACTTTTTGGCCTTCAGGAACAAGTCCTGTGTTAAGGGAACCATTTATTCGTGCCTCTTGTACACATCTACTCTTGTAATCTGTTAATTATGAGCCTAAAACAGTATTTTTCTTAAAATCTGAATCTTATTATTAATATGTAATTACATAGGTTGATTTCCGTCAAAAAGCATTACTTTAATACGTCTTTAGTAGGAAGTGTGCAGGGATTCAAAGGTGTGGGTTTTTTTACAAACAATGTTCCGTCCAAGGAACTGTAGTGACTGTATTTCCATCAGATGCAGCGGAAATTCCAGTCTGAGACTGTGCTTATGTTATTTAAATTGGTGTGATGTCTTAAGTCTATGTATACATCCTGTGTTCTTCAGACTCTACATCTCCATTTGCATGTAAATAAGGGGAGCGTTTTCAGCAAGATTGCACACGAGCTGGCTATTCATGGCACCGCGCATAACTAATACAGACTCGTGATTTGGGTGTTAGAAGTGAATTACGAACTTAATTTGACATTAAACGACTTCATAGATCGAATCCCGTCTGGAATCGGCTATCATTATTCCTTAAATATTTTGTTTATTCCTTCGGGGAGATTAAATTAGATTAAGACACATCCGACATTACCTCCTTTTAAACTGTCACACCTAAATATGGCATCCATTTCTCTAGGTGTTGTAATGTTTTTGTTGCGTTTTAAGACTGGTTAATATTAATTCTAGTTTTTGGGACATACGAATAAGACTTGATCGATGGATTGCAATTCTTTCCGCTTTACACATTTTATTATAATTCTTAATGGCTTATAGGCTTGTTGTTTTTGTAAACTGATTACTGTTGTCTATTGATTGAGATTATTTCTTTCAAACGGACCGAACTGAGTAGATTCTCAAAGAACTTTTTACCTGTTGATGGAAACACCCAGTTTCTGAAAAGTCGTATTATGTTCGGAATACTAGACTGTGGACAATTCTAGAAAACCACAAACACTAATTGTATTATAACAATAGAAGCCTGTGGTCTACTGATATTTCAGGTTATCATGAAGATGACAGCCTTCTGGGACATTGCGCCTTGTAGTCCCACAAAAGATCGCTCTGATGACTGAGGTAATAAGCACGTCTAAACGTCGGGCGAACTTTTATAATACGTTGCGCAATATCGCTTTCAAGTCGATTGTTCTATAAGTTTCCTTAAGACAATTCGGTACTTCAGATTTACATATGTATTCAGTAGATGGGATTATGAATGACAAATTGGAAGACATGTTGAAAGCAGCGGTTGTAACATAATTTAATGTACAAGCCAGGCATTTTTGGAGGGACCGAGGAAAACGACGAGAAACCTCAGTCAGGATAGCTGGTCTCCAGACCGAGGTATGAACCCGGAATGACCCGAATACAAAACAGTAGTGTTAAGAATTTGACCGTGGTATTTAGTGGTAATTCAAGATGACCAGAGTGTGCCCGGAAACAATTAAAGATGTTGAAAGAACACCCGAAATACTTTATCAGCCATCCATTTATGATTAATAAATATAACTCTCAAGTACCCTGTTGTTTGCTAACAGTAACTTCTGTTTCGGCTGCTTTGATTTTTGAATGTTTGTTTTACGATGTAACGGAAGAAAGTGGTTTTCATTTCATTCATTTATTATTGATGTGGCGGGATATCTTATTCACACGGCATAATAATATTTGCATTACCATTAGCCCACCAACGGATACATGAAAGTAAATTAATTAATTATGTTCCGCGTATGAAAATTAATAATCCAAGCTGCATATATATAAGATGTTTGATAAATAGCTTTAAGGTCAAGTTTTGGGTCATGCAGGCTGAACTGCACAACGTTAGCTGTTCATGTCATCATAATAACGGTATTTAACTTACGTGCTTTACAGCGATCGATTGTAATCCAGCGTGTAGATATAATGTGAGGTCACAATATCTATCATCGAGAGAGTGCAGGATAAAGGTGGGTCAACAGTGAAGGAATTAGACACGAAACCTACTTCAATTCAGCACAAAAAATATTCAACGCTACATTAAATTACCTGTGTTGTACTGCTATATTAAACCTATGCGTCACATATAGGACGCTTCATTAATGGTATGAACAAGAAAAATGCATTGACCACCGACAGGTCGTGATAAGGCGTAATTTGAATCTGCCTCAGTCTGATGGGTGTGTACAGTATCAGTCTGCTTAGTGGCATGTGTAACGCATTTGTAACTGTCTTTTGAGATATTGCGGCGTTTCTTTCTGATGAGGGAGGCAGCAGGCACCTCTGAAACATCGGTAAACTTATATCTGGCTACACTCCGCAATAGTCTTCGTATTCGCCATTCTGAGAATCTGAAATCTCAAACTTTTGATAAACCGGAGAGAATTTAGTGAGAGGACATGGTGTTGAACTTTTTGCATACAGACAGATATTATACTGGACTGAATCACTGCTTAAGTAACAGTTACATATGATACATAGAAGTAATAATACCGTATGTTTGGTTAGGTTACTTTGTATTGGACTTGCTGAATTTTATATTGAGGTACTTAATTTTTGTAGGTCTGTTGTTCAGTCGACGAAATTAATTGCAGTTTTAAAATTAAATTTGTACATTAAGTAGTTAATATTCAGGGAACAATTAACAAAACAAAAAACAAAAGAAACCCTTTGCTTTTATGAAAGACAAAGTTTCATTACACAGTTAACACTAACCTGTCACTGGATCCAGTCCTCAGCCTCATAATCCATTATTTTAAGATCCATTACAATATAATTTTCATGTCTATGCCTAGGTCTGGTAAGTGACCCCTTCTTGTCAACTTCCAAATTATAATCTTGTTCTCATTTCTCATACCTTTCTTACACATCTCATATCGTTTATTTTATCAACTTAATATTTGACGAAGAGTAAAAATTATGAAAATCTTGCTGGTACACTTTTCAAAAACTTACTCTTATTTACTCTGTTTTAGATTGAAGAATTCTCAACACTTTGTTCTCACATTCAGCCTTAAGAAGACAGCGTTTCAAAACCAGTTAAGACTAAAGGTAAGATTACAATTTTATATACTTTATACTGTATTTTGATCTTTAGGATTTGAGAAATGAGACTTCTTGTGACTTACGGTAGTAAATATTTGAATTTGTGTGAAACGTTATCTTTCGTTATATAGACGCAAGGATGCTGAATAAAATGTAGTACTTGAATTAAGGAGTCAAAATCTTCCTAATAATTGTGAGTTGGATAAGAATAGATGAAGTAAAGAAAATTACTACAGAGTAGTGGTGGTAGTTGTGCCTACTCTAGCCAGCAAAATATGTGTTTTTTTCAGAAATAAAGCAAGGATATTCGGCGTTAAAGCTGCGACTTCCGCATTTACCTATCACGATGGTTGATAATTAAAAATATAAAAATGCCGTGTAGGTTAGAATACACATTTTGTATTTATTTTCCTTCTAATTGACTGCATCCAGTTTAACTGAAGTGTTCATATTTGATAAAAAATGTAATTGAGTTTAGTGTGCGGCAAAGTTTATAACATTAATAATTTTTTTTTAAAATTTTATACAGCTAAAAAAAAAGCTGTAATTTGTATTAATCAAATAAAGTATTTAATTCAGTGCTACGGGAAACTGCAATAATAACTAGATTGCATCTAAGGTAAACATTCTTAACCGAATGTTAGGAAACATTTCTCACATATAATCTGATCCTCAACTCGTGGACGTAACTTCGATTTGTTATTAAATGTTTGAATGTTTCCATAGTTTCGAAGGATCTTGGCATGTACTGAGATTTTTCCTTTATGAACGGAAGTCACTTGGTGAGTTTAAACATAGAAATTTAAAACAGACTTTTATGTTCCCCCATTTTCTGCGCCCAATAAACTAATCAGGGTTGAATGTGCGTTGCCCTTGAGGACCGTGTTGCACGTAGGTGCTGCCACCACGTATTGACCGCCACGACTCACGAGCTGTTCTGTTATTTTCTTAGAACCTGGAACGGTATTGAACTTAAAGAACTTAGGAATGTTTTTACTCACAGAAAAGGACTTCACCTTTCTTTCTTCATATCAAAAGTCTTTTTCTTATTTCGTAATATACAATTTATTTTATGGTGGAATAATTGTATCGCAACATCATTATGTGGAGTATTGCAAACCCTCATGGAAATTTAATTTGTTAAAGAACAATTGTTGATGTACAGTATTTTTACAACGGAATATTCCTGGGAGTTGTCCAAATAGGCGGTGGAAACAATCTGACATGGCGATGTTTCGAACTTGATTATGATGCTTAAAGTTATTTTTTCAAATATTAGTAGAACTACTGTAAGTTTCCTAGAATTGTAAAGTCACCTACACGCTTAGTTGTTTGCCGATTACAACACTAGCGTTGCCTGGAGACATGGCCCAACCATCCATAGGATTGGGCCCAACGAAGTAGCTCTTACCTGAAGACAGAATCAGGGCCTAGTCAGCCGAAACATCGCCTTATAATTAGAATTCGGTTTGTAATTGTAATTGTGCACCGTTGTTACAAGCCTTCATATTTAATTAAAATTGAATTCGATGGGCTGTTAGTGTAGGTATCCAATATAAAATTTAATCGAATTACGATCAGTAATTTTATAGATGAAATATGCGGGTGGGCAGACAGGCTGATACTACCAAACTGTTCTGGATTCATTATCAAGCAGAAACTCACAAGACGGAATATTAACAAATTAATTCTTAATAATTATTTTTCGCTGAAGCATTAAAATAGTGTATAATTTTACGTAATGCTGGTGTAGTAAATTTGTGGATTTTTTTAAAATCAGTTCCTCTCTCACTTCCTTCACCTCTGACACATATTAGCCAGAATTATATTTAATTAACACATCCCCAGAAAAAAATTTAATTAGTTCCAAATAATTGATAATACGTAGTATATATTTAAGCATTGTGTTGATCAGTGATGTGTAAAAATTGCCACTGTCGGGACGTTGTTTGCTCTACATTTAATTTTAGATTGTTAATTTTTTGTTTTGCTTTTCTTTTGTATGTAACAGATTTCAATTATGAATAACTCGAATGCAAGAGACAGAATATATGGCATAAAGCCTCTTGCTTTATTTGTTAAAATTAATTGAAAGTAGAGTTTATTCATACGACTAATTGGCAGCGCACAAGCAAAACAATGCAGAACGCCAGCGTATGAATTTTCTAGCAATACCACTTTGTCGCAAATGATAAAATGTGTGTATAGGCCATACTAATGTTGTTCAATTTATGATTCCTCGCTGAGTACCCGTGCAGTTATTAACCTTTAAAGCCTACTGGTAAATAAATATATATATATATATATATATATATATATATAACAACTGCTGTAACATTAATTTTGCAATTTGCCCACAGAGCGCATTTTTATGGGTTCATTTGATTCTCGGTGTAAACATCGATTATTTCCCTAAACAGCATTAAACAACTGGTATTTATAATAGGGAAATATTTTGTTTGAGGTAAGGACTAATTTTTTTATATTATTTAGAAGAGCTTTGGCTTCAAAGGGTTAAATGATTAGGGTACACATCTTTGACTGGATTTATTTAGCTCGGAACAGGGAACTGTAATGGACTGTTGCGAGTACAGTAATAAACTTTGGAGCTCTGTAAAAGACTGAAACTTTCTTAATTACCTAAATGACATTTAAGTTCTTAAAAAGGGTTTTGCTCTGTGTAGTTTGTTAGTTATCTGCAGGATAGTTTCTTCGCCATTTCCAAGCGGGTCCCGTAGATATTTAATGTAGAAGTTTGTTCGTTGGTTTTCTTTTCGCCTGTGTTCTCATAGTTTCTTCCGTAAGCATTACCAAATCCTGGAATTTTCTGAAATGTTTCCGAAGTATTGAATTTGAAGTTTCCGTCGCTGCGTTTATTCTAGAAGAACTCTTTTAGAAGCACAGTTACCAAAAGGTGAGCTTTCATGTTAGCCATTTTAGCCGGGCTTAAACTTGTACAGAAAAAAATAAAGTTTTCTTTCATAATTCCGGGGTAAAATGGTACTCCACATATTGGAACTCAGCAGAACCGATCATATAAAATGCGTCATACCTAGCACCAGCCAACTAGACGCTCGCCGCGAGCGTTAGCCTCAACTAGTTGGTTAACCACGCCTGGTTTGATGAAGCCCTGATAACGTTCGAAACAGTTTGAAGGCCCTCCCCCCCTCAGAGCCAAAACGAAACGGAATAAATCGGAAGTTAGATAAACAGACAATTAATGCCCTACATTAATTTCCCATGACAGTGGGACTTCGGTAAACCGTAACTCTGTCAGGAACGTGTGTGGTTTTCGGCTGGATAGCCGAGGTTTTATTAACTCATTGTCGGATTTTTCTT